CTTATAAGTTTTTTAACGATCAGATTCTATAAGAAAAGGATTAGTTCAGTGATGAATCTTATTAATTAAGGAGATATGCACAAAATAAGGAAGATATCTAGGCCTCTAATGAAATTATTTCTTCATCTTCCTTATGATGCTTTTCACGTTGATTATTTTCCAAGAAAGAACTGTTGTTGCCGATCGATATCTAATATAATTTATATAAACATTATTAACCTCGGTTGGCTTATCTAATCAAATTTAGTAACAATTTTTTTGAATTTCAAATACACTGGCTTTTTTCGTTAGGACTTCTGGTATCTCTGGATTTTTATTCTTGTAATTTCTTTTATTCCCAACATTGTTAATATGGATACCTCTACAAGAAACTAATTGTATACAATTTGTTTCTTTGTTCACATTTCTTTCTTTAAGAATTGGCATCTTGTTTTCGACAGTAAGCCATAGTTTGTCAATAGTGTTTTCTTCTTTGCATTGGTTGTAGTTCTGACAATAAAAAAAGAGAATTATAAGTTTGAACTAGTAAATAAAATACTTTCTGCATGATATTGTAATCAGTATTAAGAACCATAACAATCTAAAAGATCTGTCAGAGGACCAGCTAAAAGCGTCACACCTCCTAGTTATGGAATGTTACAACCACAATACGATCTAAAAGATCTCAGTAGAATGATTAAAAGTTGAACTTTCTATGTTGTGGACAACTGCAATTATCTAAAAAATTATTGCAGAGGACAATTCTATATAGAGAAAATACTCATCTTTAAAAGGTCACTAACTTTCTGTACTTTTGTGGGATCTGAAATTTTATTTTATAAGCTCACAAAGGCTTTTTGCAAATATATCTACTGCTTTACTATAGATAAGGTTCTCATAGTCTTGTTTATATATATGTATCCACTTTATTTTTATCAAAATATGTATACCAGGTCATTTGTAAAGGGAATTAATTATGAAATCTCATCTCAGGGTTATTCTCTTTTATAAAGAAAAACATGTCTCGTTTTTATTGATTTTACCCTATGAGATCGTAATTAATTGCCCATATAACTACAACTGTGAAATGATTAGTTAGAGTTTTAAAGTAACATATACCAAAATTTTGCAATAAATTTTTTTTTGTTATAATGCAAAAGACAATTTCATAGGCAAAATTTCAAGCTAAAGATGATTTTGTAAACAATGATTGTTTTTCTGATTTGGGATACATAGATACGCTAGTTAAGATACTTGTGCCTAGAGATGGGCAAATTGCAGTTTTAGAGATTCATTAAACCATTGAACCTAGGTGCCGCAGTTGATCTTTGAAAAGCGATCTTTGCAATTTTGACAAACCAAGTGATTCTTTAAAAGCATAAAATATAATAAACACGATATTCTAAAAATATACATTGATTGCCGTAACCAAATTTCTAAACGAAAAAAAAAGAATAAAAATCAAAATAAATTATAAAAACTAATCAGTAAATACAATTGCACCAGAAAACTTTGTAAATTTTATTTTTAATGCTTTTCCAGAAGGCTACAACTCTGAAAATTTATTTGAGCAAAAAATTTTTATAATTCTGAATTCAGAACGCAACAAAAAAAAATTATTGAATAAACATAATGAATCCAAATAGCAACAAATGATTGGTATTATTAACAAAAACTTTGAGCTATTGAATAAATTGGAGGAGGATTATTATCATTTTAAAGAGCAATGGAATCTTCCAAATACTTAGAAAACCTGTAATTATAATACTTTTGGTTGTAATAAATATTACGTTTATTGAGTTTATTTGAAATAAAATAAAATGATTAATTTATTGCTTATCGTTATTATTTTGTTAGTCATATAAAGTTTTTTGTATTTTTTTAGATCCCACACAGGATTTTTAATAAAATTCCAAAATAACATTATCTGGCCGGTATTACTATATCATCTGGCTGTATTAACATAATCATTAATATAATTAATAATTGAGCTATCCCAAAAAATCATGTAATATTGTCAATTCATCTTATGATACATAATAATATTTATAAAATATTAATTGATTTAGTAAGTGATTTATTTTTTTCGATTCTTTAAAATGAAAAGTGATCATTGCAATCTAACAAATTAAGTGATTCTTTTAAAAGCATAAAATTCAATAAACAAAAATATTCTAAAAATATACATCGATTGCTGTAACCCAATTTTCATGACTGGGGTTAAATCACTACTAAAAAAGTTTCAAACATCATGTGACAAATATATCTTGTATCAAAAATTCATGTAACGAACAAAAAAATACAAAAAACTTTATATGACTAACGG